GAAATTGCCCTTGTTTTTCAAATCTAAACAAGTGTTTCAGACAGCCTTAACGCTTTGCTAAAATGCATAACAGCTTTCACAGCAGTACGAGGTGCAAAAAACAAAGAATCGGTCGCTCAGCAACGTAAGTTAACTTTCACTTAAGTTTCCCTTAACTGCCGAAACTGAAGCTAACTTCAGCCTCGTGAAGCCAGACGGAGTCGGGACAGATACAAACAGCTGAGGGCAGAAATCACGGATGTTGTGGATTTTCCCAGCAGGGACGCTAGCAGGCGTTTTTTGAGGCGCAGCGTTTTTCCGACTGCTTTGGTTGCTATGATACATTTGTTGCAAGTAGTTCTACCGAACTTTACTGGATGTAAAAATGTCAACACAGAGTTAAACTTTTACTGCCCTGATAGAAAAATCATGTAAGGTTAGTTGGATTGCTTTATTCTCCAGCGCTGTGCTTTGGCTTGTGGTGTAAAATATGTAGTTGTTTGTCATGAGACAATCAGCTGATCACTAATTGGCAATAAAACAGCAGCTTCCAGCATCAAAGCTCAGATCAGCAGCTAAACTTCACAATTTACTGCCCTGGTGGAAAACATGTATTTCTTTTTACTGCTAATGGAGATATATAACAAGACCACGTCTATCAAGTGACCAAGAATAAATACTTTGAGAATGTGCATTAAAAATTTTGTTTTCCCCACTGTGCACACAAATGTGTAATTTATGCTTCCACATGCTAAATGCCCATTAAAAATGTTGCACCGTTTTACCACAAGCTGAAATTATGGCTGTCAGTACTACTTTGTGTTTCTGTTGTATTTTAAAAAATTAAAAAGACATTTTGGTAATATTTGCAGATTGTTTATCTAATTAAGCAAAGTGAGAGGAGCCTTGATCCTCACCTGACAATATGGTTTATAACGGACTGTGGTGCAGAAACAGTGAGGCTCACATTGTCCTGTTATCTGTCAGTGGTCATACTGGATGCACTAGATGTGATGGTTTAGAGTTTGAGATGTTCTTCATTAACATGTATGTTAGTCCAGATGAACCAACCCTCCCAAGATGTAAAATAATGTATTACAGAAGTATGAGACATCATGCAGCACTTCATTTCTTCATGTGGCTGTTTATTAATGAACAAGTAATAATATTCAAAACATATGGTTTAACTGAATAATTAAGTCAATATATTTTATATCTATTTATATCTATCTAAAGAAACCTGATTTCTTGACTGGCAACTCTCTCCTATCTCATAGATGGCATATTTGTCCTGTCTCAGGCACCGTATCTGTAGTGACTAAAGCAAAAACAAAGTAGTCGCTGAGAGGCTGAGGTAGGGCCTTGTGGTGCTGTTTGTCTGACTCGCTGCACAAATAATTTGCGGATCTCAAAAAATATCATCTTTGCTTTTTATTGACGAAAATATGCAACTTAATATAATGTGAAAACGTATATTCAAAATAATCACAATGATCAAAAACTATAAAGAATACCGCGGTCAACAAAAAATACAGCGTCACTCACCTTCTTTCTGCCACTGGCGTTGAACAGGTGTGTAAATTAACTATACAGAAATCACCACCCACATCCACGTGACTTCTAGAAATAACTCCAAACGTGCAATAAATCAGTTCATGATTCCTTCAGTAGCTGTACTACTCGCTTGGATAGGGGAGGGGGGGTGCAAGTCACAATCCTCACCACTAGATGTCACTAAAACTTACACATTGAACTTTTAAAAACAGACAACAGGTTTCTGTTTAACTTACAGTTTACTGTGTTAAATATGTACAAACACTGCTGATATGAAAAGAACCAACATATAAATCTGGAGTTTACATTTTATTACAAAATGCAGATAAAAACAAGTTTATTTACAAAAATAATCTTCTACAGCGCTCTGATACAGCAGAGACGATCTCCCATTATTTCTCCCAGTAGAGTCTATCTGCTCATGTTTGTAACAGAGCGTGGAGTCTGTGTGAGACCAGGTCAGTCCACCTGGTCCTCAGAAGTCCGCATCTTTACAGAGGCCTTCTGGCTGAAGGTGTTATCCCTCTGAGACTCTGTAACTCAATCCAGGGTTTCCCAATCCAGCTCCCAATGAGCACCTTCACATAAAAGGCGGGGTTAGCAGCAGATGACCAATCGCAGACATGAAGAAGTCTTCTGGCAGCAGAGCGTCAAATTTTACAAAGCAAACTGTAATATTAGACAGACATAATCTAAGTAACAGCTGCAGTGTGAATGTCTAAGTTAACATGCGTATCCTATAATTTCAATCTGTAGATTTGATGTGTTCTTCTGACAATTTCAGCCTTATTCTTTCAGCTCGACTGTGTGTCGGCGTTTCCATATTAAAAGCCTCAGGCACTGATTGAATAAGTGGTCAACTCACTTTTAAGAACGTCTCGTCACTTCAGACATCAGAATCATTTATTTAACACACAGGAATGGTCCAAACATTGTTCTAAATTAATTTCATAAAGCAACAAAATGAAAAATCCATTCATGCCATGAAAAGTAATAAAATGTGCTCTAACAGTGGTTGAAAGACTGAATCTCAACATTTAGGCTTCTGAAAACTCCCCCACATTACCTCCACATCGCTAAAGGTGAGGCGCTACATGACCAGTCTGTGTGATACAAGATGGCTACTAACGTAAAAGAAACACACTCATATTAAACTGAATTTCAATATTGCTATATTGCATAATATTCAGCCTCACGTAAAAAATGAAACCCATTTATTTAAACGGCTGCGACAGGCTGTATGAAATATAAAATACTTAAACATTTCAAAGCGGTGAGTGGGCTTACTGTCACATCTTAAAAACCTACAAGTACTAGCCTACAAGGCTTTTATCCCTTATAATTATGAAGAACATAATAACATAAGTATGAATGCAGAAATAAATAATAAATTATAAATAAACAAATATAAAATACATTTTGGTTAAAAAAAAGGCTATTTCTTTATTTTGTCATTCATTTGTTTATACTTTTTGTCATTTTTTTCTTCTTTATAGCAGTGAAGACAAAGCTTTGAAAAGCAGCTTGTCCCTGGACTTTGAATTACATATTATTATTGTATAATTATAAACATAAAGGGTCAGCTGGGATTGGCTCCAGCCCCCGTGACCCTGTACGCAGGATAAGCGGTTGACGATGGATGGATTAATAAAGGTGGCAGCAGTTTGTGGGGACTTGGTTTGGGAAAATGCTGAATGAGTGGATACACTGGAAAAAAAGAAGTAGTATTGTTAAGTTGAAGCAACGGACAGCGTGAGAAAAGCAATGTGGTTTTGAACATTAAAGCATGTAAACATTTTCTGGTAGAAACCCAAAATAAAAGTATGAACCTGAAAATGAGCTTAATGTGGGACCTTTAAGTTCGACTGCTTTCCCCTAGAGGCTGTGATGTGAATTACACATAACAAGGGGAAAACGTTTTAGTCATTATAAACTTGATGTTTTAGTCTTGATTTATTCTGCTGCTCAGGTAGGCCGACACAAATACTCTTTTAACAGAGTCCGCACAAATCCTGTCCTCACAGAAGCAAACACAGCAGCTAAACTACAGCCGACCCTGACCTCTGACCTCTCAGCAGTTTTCAGTCCCAGCAGTAGATATTGTACTTGTATCACAGAAGCAGTATTTGTAGTAATAGCACTAATAGAAGTGACAATATGTACTATAACAAATCAGTCCATCTGATATATTTTGTGGTCAACATACTGAACTCTGGGTGAATCTGGGGGCTGTGTAACACATTTTGGGGTCATCAGATCCTGTTTAGGGCTCCAACAAGGTTTCTGTCGACCCTGAATATTTGTGTCATGTTACTGAGAGGAAGGAGAACTAAAGTGTCCTGAGATGTAAAGCTTGTTGTAATGAATGAGTGCAGCTCTCTCAGCATGTTGTTGTGTTTGTGTGAAGGTGTGGGCTCTGCTATGAATCAGTGTGAGGACAGAGAGGAGGGAGTCCCTCCCTCTAAAAGCACTCTGTGTGGGGAACATGACAGCCAGACCAAAGCTCAGAGGTGAGATGAGGATCTCTAACTGTCCAGGACTCAAATCACTCCACCATCATTATTCACTCTCAAAGCTCTGTGTGTGTTGTGTTGAAGCCCAGAGCAGCAGCAGGGACCAGACTCTGCTGGACCTGGACCTGGACCTGGACCTGAACCTGGACCCAGCTGTGTGTCCATCAAGAGTGACTGGTCTATGGACAGACTCATTGTCTTCAAAGGTGGACACCACTCTGCTGATCAAAGGTCAGCATGTTAAATGTTTGTGTCTCTCCTGAGATGAGGTTTGGTGTCTTTGTTTTGATCACTTCATGTTCTTAACTCTTCACTTTTTTCAAACTGGTCTCACATTTTGCAGATCTTAGTCCAAATATCAAAACCACGGTTAAAATCTACAAACAGCTGGATGCAGGTTTGAGAATGTGTAAGAACATTGAAAGTGGATGATAAATTAGCTCCTTCATGCAGTTTTTCAAATCAGGATCCACATTCACAAATCTCAGATCACAAAATAAAATCTTGGAACATTTAAACACGAGTTTCCTCATTTCATTAGAACACACAGGAAGGGTTAACAGCCCAACCTGCATCTTTTATGAGGGCTGTGATTAAGTTTCTTACTACAGGATTATGTAAATACACTCAGTGTGATCACGTCGTCAAACAGAAACACACTGTTCAGGATTCAAATTAAAGTATGCTAGTTTGTTCTGTTTACTTGTTGACTGAAGAAGGTAAATCATATTCTTTAAATAACTGCTTTGGATTCTCTGCAGTCAGGTAATTTATTCAGCATAAAGTGCAGATGATAAGAAATAGTTTGAGTTCTACCCTTCAAAGTTGTTAATAGGAAAAATGAAGTTGGTAAAGTAGAACCACCAGAGCTTTATGATCTTGAGATAAGCATTTATACTGTTAATGTTTGACTCCAGTTTCTCAGTCCAAAGTTCAGAGCTGCTCTGTGTCACATTAAAAAACACTTCAGTTTGAAGATGAATCCAGAGAGACTGCATGTGAATTTACAGACCTTTGAAAACCTGCTGTGAGTCACATTTGTTCTTTCTCTGGTTGGTTTCCTGGTTGAAGCTGCTGATTAATTTCACCTTCGGTCGACGACTTCATGCAGATTATTTTTTATCATCAAAAGGTAACTTAATCATTTTCCGCCATTTTGTTGTTGTAGTATCAGTTTTACATCTTCTGAACAGTAGAGGTGGCAGTGAGGAGTTCATCTGGGTTTTTTCTGGCCACTCAGTATATTCTGTCAGTCCCAATTTAAGAGGCAATAATGTGAAATGTAAAAGTGACCTCTTTACCTCCCACTGTCTCCTCCAATGGAGGCTAGCTTTACATAGGACATTACGGACTGCTACTGCCGAAAGGTTCAACGCTGTCTCCATTTATATTTATTCAAATTGCTTTCTCAATTACGTTCTCCTGAAAAATGATGTATGTATATTCGCTGTATGTTATGTACATACTAATTTGAAACTTAGCAGTTATATTATTTAGTTATAGACTTTTATTATTATATATTATTTCATGTTGCACAAGTAGCTGTTGAAGAAAAATGAATACAAAATAATAATTATTACAGAGAGGTTGCGATGGTGCAGTGGATTAGACCCTTGTCTTTGATTCCCACTGGAACACATCCACCAAATAAGTTATTGTCATGGGTCCTGCTTCACCATCCATGTTATAATAGAGCCGCCACCTGACCTGATAGCCTATTTAGATTTTTTTCCTAGTAAATATATTTGTTTGATAGCGAATTTGTTGCAAACGGGAATAAATATACTGTGTATTATTTTATTAAAAAAAACAATCATCCCAGAAAAAGCCCTTTTGATGTCTATGTGCACGTGCCTGATGCCATGTCACTATATTTCATGTATTTGCTAATTCTATGCTAAAAACTCAGTCCTGTTTCTTTCAGTCTGTTACTCAAATACACTCTCTTCACCTCCTTGGGACAGTGTCCAGAGGGGATCTTTCAGATTTTTCCTGGGGTCTATTCTAAATCCAGAGTGAAGATACTAATATCATATGAAACTAGATGACCTAATGCATCCATTGGTACCATGCTTTTTTTTCCCCCAAGTGTATTTGAATATTTCTGCATACTGTTAGCCAGGGCTCATTCCTGTTACTAAATTGTTTAGTTTTTTAAAATAAGATACACCACAATTTTTCTATTATGTTTAGGCCAGTCATTTATCCAATTGTTTAGTAAATTACATGATTTCGGTCTCCTTTAAAACAAAAAAAGGTGTTGCATTCTTTAGAAAAATACAACTTGCTAGCATATAAAGTACAGTTTTTGTCGCAAATATTCATTTTTTGATCATGTAACCAACAATTTATTTAAAATAAACACTTTCTTTAGGGAAAAACAAAGGAATTATTTGACCTGCTTTTAAACATAGTTTCAAAATGACATATAACACACCACAAACCAGCAGAAACCAGACCCGGTTCAGGTGCTCCACGCCGGCCCGTCTGACCCACCTGCTCGATCTCCGCGGCGTTCCTGATGATGCTGCTGATGGTCTCTGACGACAGTTTGTTCACCAGGTGTTTGAACATCAGACAGGCAAAGTCACAGTGCAGACACTGAACACACCACACAAAGCGTTACTACACAAAGAGCAGCCCCTGAACTCTTACACTTAACACTTAAAGACCATTTCAGTATATTTTAATAATGCTACACATCTTTGAGCTGAAACCAGTTAATTCACTCACACACCTTTTAAAGGGGCGCTTGGAAAAGGAATTTGAATGTATTCAGCACAGTTTTATTACCTATATGTGAATAGGTTGTTACATCATCATAAACATCTAAACCACCTGCTGCTCTTAACCAATAGCATCTATATGACGCTGACGTACTGCGGTAAGCGTGTCGACTCATTTCCGTTTCCGGTGCTTGTGTGTTGGTACCGTGATGTGCTGCTCTCGCTAAACAGTTAAATTTGTTAGATTACAGCGGCCAACTGTCCGCTAAACACTTATTCTTACAGTAATTTTGCCTAAGCACTCACAGTTCTTTCCATCTTTTAGTGACTGCTGTTCAATCTCATAGTTGTTCTAAAGTTTTGATAACTGACGCTACAGTAATTTAGCTTAGCCGTTAGCGACTTTAGCTTAGCAGCTAGCGATGGCTTCTCCTTCTCCCTCTCTCTCTCCTACTTTCTCGTGCTCGGTGTGTCAGATGTTCAGTTACTCCTCTGCCTCCTTTAGCGGTAATGGTACGTGTAATAAGTGTAGTTTATTTATAGACATGGAGGCGAGGCTCAGTGATTTAGAAGTCCGGCTCCGCACCTTGGTAGATCAGTCTTTAGCTACTGTAGCTAGCCAGTCCCCGGTAGTCGGTGCTGACGGCCTGAGTTAGCCTCTGGTAGCCGTCCCCGCATCTCCTGTGCAGCCAGGAAGGGGTGGCTGGGTGACTGTCCGAAGGAGGAATAGTCGTAAGCATTCAAAGTCCACGGGGCACCATCAACCTGTTCACGTTTCTAACAGATTTTCCCCACTCAGCGACACACCCGCTGAGAAACCAACTCTGATCATTGGCAGCTCCATTTTGAGAAACGTGAAGTTAGCGAAGCCAGCGGCCATAGTTAAGTGCATCCCTGGTGCCAGAGCGGGCGACATTGAGTCTTATTTGAAACTGCTGGCTAAGGATAAACGTAAATACAGTAAGATTGTTATCCACGTCGGCGGTAATGACTCCCGGTTACGCCAATCGGAGGTCACTAAGATTAATGTTGAGTCGGTGTGTACATATGCAAAAACAATGTCGGACACCGTAGTTTTCTCTGGACCCCTGCCAAATCTGACCAGTGATGACATGTATAGCCGCATGTCGTCATTCCACCGCTGGTTGTCGAGGTGGTGTCCAGCAAACGATGTGGGCTTTGTAGATCATTGGCAGACTTTCTGGGGAAGACCTGGTCTGATCCGGAGAGACGGCATCCATCCCACTTGGGAAGGAGCAGCTCTCATTTCTAGAAATCTGGCCAAGTTTATTAGTGGACCAAATCCATGACAACCCAGAGTTGAGACCAGGAGGCAGAGTCGCAGTCTAACACACTTCTCTGCTCCTCCATTTCAGGAGTTACTTAGTGAAAATCCTATAGTGACGGTGTCTGCCCCCCGACCATCGAAATTATTTAAATCAAAGGTAAACAGAAGAGGAGCTGTGCATAAAAACCTCATAAAAATTAAAACCACAAGAGCAATAGTGCAGATGAATAGGAGAGTTAAATGTGGACTCATCATCAGTCTCAACATCAGATCTCTCGCTTCTAAAGGTGTACTAGTAAATGAACTAATATCAGATTATGATATTGATTTATTTGTCTTACTGAAACCTGGCTGGGTGATGGAGAATATGTTAGCCTAAATGAATCCACCCCTCCCAGTCATATTAATACTCACATTCCTCGAGGCACAGGCCGAGGAGGTGGAGTTGCAGCTATCTTCGACTCTACCCTACTAATCAGCTCTAAACCTAAACTAAATTAGAATTTATTTGAAAGTCTTGTTCTTAGTCTTTCACACCCTAGTTTTGATATCACTGCAACCAATTCTCTTCGTTATAGTGTACCGAGCACCTGGTCCGTACTCTGAATTGTTACCTGAATTTGCAGAGTTTTTGTCAACTTTAGTCCTTAAAACGGACAAAGTTATTATTGTAGGGGATTTTAATATTCATGTGGACGTTGAGAATGACAGCTTCAGTACTGCGTTTATCTCTCTGTTAGATTCCATTGGCTTCTCTCAGTTTGTTCATGAACCGACTCACTGTTTTAACCACACCCTCGAACTTGTTTTGGTATATGGTGTTGAAATAGAACATTTAAAACGGACAAAGTTATTATTGTAGGGGATTTTTATATTCATGTGGACGTTGAGAATGACAGCTTCAGTACTGCGTTTATCTCTCTGTTAGATTCCATTGGCTTCTCTCAGAGTGTTCATGAACCGACTCACTGTTTTAACCACACCCTCGACCTTGTTTTGGTGTATGGTATTGAAATTGAACATTTAATAGTGTTCCCATAGAATCCCTCTTTATCCGACCACGGTTTGATAACTTTTGAGTTTGTATTTCTGAACTACACACCATTGGGCAAAAATTTCTATACAAGATGTCTGTCTGATGTAGCTAAATTTAAGGATACGATTCCATCAGCTCTAAATTCATTATCAAGTCACAAAGTAACGGAGGACTCCTATGCTAATTTCAGTCTCTCCCAAATCAATCATCTTGTTAGTGCTGCAGGCTCGCTGCAAATGACACTCGACTCTGTAGCCCCTCTAAAAAAGAAAATACTAAAACAAAGACGGTTAGCTCCATGGTATAATACTGAAACTCGCAAATTAAAGCAAATATTGCGGAAACTTGAGAGGAATTGGCGTTCCACCAAACTGGTTCTCTCATTTAATTAGGCAAGATAGTCTTAAAACTTATAGGAAGGCCCTCCGTAATGCCAGAGCAGCGTACTACTCGTCATTAATAGAGGAAAATAGGAACAACCCCAGGTTTCTTTTCAGCACTGTAGCCAGGCTGACAGAGAGTCACAGCTCTATTGAGCCAAGTATTCCCATAGCTCTCAGTAGTTACGACTTCATGAGCTTCTTTAATGATAAAATTCTAGCTATTAGAGACAAAATTTACCAAGACCTGCCCTCAACTGGCACCAACTTATCTCTAAACTCAGGAACTTTGAAACAGCTGTTGAACCAGATATATGTTTAGACTGTTTTGCTTCCCTCAATCTTTACCAACTAACAATAATTTCTTCATCTAAACCATCAACCTGCCTCTTAGACCCCATCCCGACTAGGTTGCTTAAAGATGTTTTACCCTTAGTCAGCACTTCAATGCTAGATATGATCAATCTATCTTTATCAACAGGCTATGTACCACAGTACTTTAAAGTAGCTGTAATTAAACCTCTTCTGAAAAAGCCCAAACTTGATCAGGATGTTTTAGCCAACTATAGACCTATATCTAAACTTCCATTTCTCTCTAAGGTTCTGGAGAAAGCAGTTGCTAAACAGCTGTGTGACTTTCTACAGAGCAATAGTTTATTTGAGGATTTTCAGTCAGGATTTAGAGCTCATCATAGCACAGAGACAGCACTGGTGAAAATTACTAACGACCTCCTTATTGCATCAGACCGCTCTAAGCTGGTTTAAGTCCTATTTATCAGATCGATTTAAGTTTGTACATGTTAACGAGTCCTCCATGCACGCCAAAGTTAGTCATGGAGTTCCTCAAGGATCTGTCCTCGGACCAATCCTCTTCACTTTATATATGCTTCCTTTAGGCAATTATTATCAGGAAATATTCCATAAACTTCCATTGTTATGCAGATGATACTCAGTTATATCTATTGATCAAGCCAGATGAAACTCATCAGTTAGCTAAACTTCAGATGTGCCTTCAGGATGTTGAAATCTGGATGACCTGTAATTTTCTAATGTTAAACTCAGATAAAACTGAAGTTATTGTTCTGGGGCCTAAACACCTCCGTGACGCATTATCAAAAGATATAATTTCCCTTGATGGCATCGCCCTGGCCTCCAGCACCACTGTGAGGAATCTTGGAGTTATCTTTGATCAGGACATGTTGTTTAAGTCTCACATTAAGCAAATTTCAAGGACTGCCTTTTTTTACCTACGTAATATTTCGAAAATCAGGAACATCCTGTCTTAAAATGATGCAGAAAACTAGTGCATGCATTTGTTACTTCTAGGCTGGATTACTACAATTCTTTATTATCAGGCTGCTCGAAAAAGTCCGTTAAGACTATTCAGCTGATCCAGAATGCTGCAGCACGTGTTCTGACAGGAACCAGGAAAAGAGATAATATTTTTGCTGTTTTAGCTTCTCTGCATTGGCTTCCAGTAAAATCCAGAATATAATTTAAAATCATTCTTCTTACCTACAAAGCTCTTAATGGTCAGGCACCATCTTATCTTAAAGAGCTCATAGTACCTTACTACCCCACCAGAGCACTGCGCTCCCAGAATGCAGGGTTACTTGTGGTTCCTAGAGTCTCCAAAAGTAGACTAGGAGCCAGAGCGTTCAGCTATCAAGCTCCTCTCCTGTGGAACCAGGTTCCAGTTTGGGTTCAGGAGGCAGACACCATCTCCACATTTAAGAGTAGGCTTAAGACTTTCCTCTTTGATAAAGCTTATAGTTAGGGCTGGCTCAGGTGAGTCCTGAACCATCCCTTAGTTATGCTGCTATAGGCCTAGACTGCCGGGGGATTTCCCATGATGCACTGAGCTCCTCTATGATTCTATATTGAATATAATCTGTGTGGTCATCATCAACATGTAAACCACCTGCTGCTCTTAACAAGCATTTTGAAGATTCAGCTCTTTTTTGGGAGTCAGATCAGCAAAATCTCCTGAGTGTTTAAAGTCACAGCTGTCTTTTTAGTACGAGAGTTTTCATCTACACTTGATTTGTGATGCCTTGAACTGTTTTTGTTTATATTGTGCTGTCTACTGTTGTAATGTTGCTTTTAACTTGATATCCTTCTGTAAAGCATGTGGTAACCTAGGTTTTTAAAGGTGCTATATGAATGAAATGTTACTTATTGACTTACTCAGGAAATGTTATTTAATGTTTTACATCCAGCAGAGGTTCCCCTCTGTTTCCCTACAGTTCTTATCTCCAGTCATCTTGAAATGTAGGTTGTAAATCACTGCAGCAGAATGAAATTAATCAATGACAGTTTTTCTAAAATAGTTCATTTATAAATCCCTATAAACCTCATGGTGGGTCTGATCACTGAGACTTGATCCTCCATCACAGATTTATTTACTGAGCTATATCTTTAGCTCATCAGCTGGTTAGTTAGCAGCATCCAGTGGACAGAGAATGAAACTACACATCTGATCAGTGACGTTTCTGACACTGACTGGGTTTAGATGTTCTAAAGGAAAGATGTGACACTATCTCACGACCAAATTTAAAACTTATTTAAGAAATAAAAGCTTTTGTTCTTGTAGCCTTCATCAAATAACAAAACAACCAGACCCGTTTTGACGTCCCTCTGATGTTTTTTAGACTCTGAAGTTATGAGGCTGTGACGGCGTCCTCAGATCAGATGCACACAGACACCAGGACTGACGAGGAAGAAATGAGCAGCTTCTTCTCTCCCAGTGTTTCCTCCACACATGAAGGTGCAAAGTGTCTGTAAGTCGACCTGAAGTGAGTTCAGCAGGTGAGAATCCGACCAGAGGAATCTGTAAATGTCTGATAATCGGGATCACTTTGATCACATTGTGCTGGATCACTGTTTAACTGGACAGTAGAAATGCTTCTTGATGCTGATTGGCTGTTTCTAAATATCTCTTTGAAATCTGCTGTAGAATTTCTCTCCGAGTTAAAGAACAATGATTTCAGAAAGATTTCCCTGTAATATTGTTCATGTTTCTCAAGTAGAATCAGCAGCAGTCTGATTGTAGTCTGAGCTCACATCATCAGTGAAACATGCAGGGTGTGTCTGAACTGGTCTGACAGCTTGGATCCACTTGGCTCAGGTTTCTGGTTTAACTGTTAATACTCTGAAGTTAAGTGCATGGATGAAGAGTTCAGGGCTCAAATACAGACATCTTCCAACACTGAGACGGACTTGGTTTCACTGAAGACCCTTTAGAACAGTCCAGGGGCCTCATGTATAAAAGCCATCTGTCAGCCATCGGCGATGGCATTGTGATTGTAAAACCCCGTCCCCCGTCAAAAAAAAATCTACATTTTTCACATTATACCGCTATGTGAAAGCAGGTTTTAATCACAACGAACATTATTATTAAAGAGGCCTACACCTCAGGTAAACACCGGCTAATACCGGGGAAAGGCAGCCTGCAGTTGGCACTTGGCTTATTTTATTTCTTTTCCAATTGAAAGGTGCAGTATGGAATAGTTATGGCTGACTAGTGCGAGCACAAATAACACTGCTGGTTTGAATGTTTACATGATAAAGTGGTAAGATGTGAAATGAAGTGAAATTAAATATGTGAAAGTCATCATGATCTATTTTTCTCACATTCAATTTATTTTGATATTAAACCACTACATACATGATCAAACCTTTGTCAAAAGACATAATTAGGATTTTGATAGACTACTCCATTGACATCTGCACAGTAATTGCAGTGGAAACACTATTTTGAAACATTTGGTGAGTTTTGGCACTTTAGCAGTTTACTGACAGCCAGACAAAAGTTTGTGGAGGGACTTCACATTCTCACATCACGTTCATTTTTATACATCCCACGTGTGCGTGAAAACCAGCGTACGTAACCTTTTTATACGTAGGCAGCGTTTATACATGAGGCCCCAGGTCTCAGCTGTACCAGAGGCTCCAGGATCCTTTCTAGATGGACCAGAGCCAGCCCAGGGTGGAGGGGAACTTAGAGGTTGATTAGGGCCCCTCAGCCATCAGGGGCCCTCACAGGAATAGAGAAGGACCAAAGTAAAATCAGCCATCCTGTGTCTCTCTGGTCATGATTTAAACATTTAAAGACAGAAATAAAGATTTAAAGACACAGACCTTGAGGAGAACTAAAGTGTCCTGAGATGTAAAGCTTGTTGTAATGAATGAGTGCAGCTCTCTCAGCATGTTGTTGTGTTTGTGTGAAGGTGTGGGCTCTGCTATGAATCAGTGTGAGGACAGAGAGGAGGGAGTCCCTCCCTCTAAAAGCACTCTGTGTGGGGAACATGACAGCCAGACCAAAGCTCAGAGGTGAGATGAGGATCTCTAACTGTCCAGGACTCAAATCACTCCACCATCATTATTCACTCTCAAAGCTCTGTGTGTGTTGTGTTGAAGCCCAGAGCAGCAGCAGGGACCAGACTCTGCTGGACCTGGACCTGGACCTGGACCTGGACCCAGCTGTGTGTCCATCAAGTGTGACTGGTCTATGGACAGACCCATTGTCTTCAAAGGTGGACCCCACTCTGCTGGACCTGGACCTGAACCCAGCTGTGTGTCCATGAAGAGTGACCGGTCTATGGACAAAGCTATTGTCTTCAAAGGTGGACACCACTCTGCTGGACCTGGACTTGAACCCAGCTATGTGTCCATGAAGAGTGACCGGTCTATGGACAAAGCTATTGTCTTCAAAGGTGGACACCACTCTGCTGGACCTGGACTTGAACCCAGCTGTGTGTCCATGAAGAGTGACCGGTCTATGGACAAAGCTATTGTCTTCAAAGGTGGACACCACTCTGCTGGACCTGGACCTGAACCCAGCTGTGTGTCCATGAAGAGTGACCGGTCTATGGACAAAGCTATTGTCTTCAAAGGTGGACACCACTCTGCTGGACCTGGACCTGAACCCAGCTGTGTGTCCATGAAGATGACCGGTCTATGGACAAAGCTATTGTCTTCAAAGGTGGACACCACTCTGCTGGACCTGGACTTGAACCCAGCTATGTGTCCATGAAGAGTGACCGGTCTATGGACAAAGCTATTGTCTTCAAAGGTGGACACCACTCTGCTGGACCTGGACTTGAACCCAGCTGTGTGTCCATGAAGAGTGACCGGTCTATGGACAAAGCTATTGTCTTCAAAGGTGGACACCACTCTGCTGGACCTGGACCTGAACCCAGCTGTGTGTCCATGAAGAGTGACCGGTCTATGGACAAAGCTATTGTCTTCAAAGGTGGACACCACTCTGCTGATCAAAGGTCAGCATGTTAAATGTTTGTGTCTCTCCTGAGATGAGGTTTGGTGTCTTTGTTTTGGTCACTTCATGTTCTTAACTCTTCACTTTTTTCAAACTGGTCTCACATTTTGCAGATCTTAGTCCAAATATCAAAACCACGGTTAAAATCCACAAACAGCTGGATGCAGGTTTGAGAATGTATAAGAACATTGTCTATGGAGCCTCCTCTTGCTCAATGGAGGTGAATGAAGTTTAGTTTTGAGCTATTAACAGTAAAGATGCAGCTGGACAGATAAACAACAACTGAAAGTCGCTATAAAACTCTGTAACGCTGAGAAACTGCAGATTCAGCTGAAAACTCACTACCAGAGACACCAACACATAAATATATCTATTAAATCTGCTTTGAGGACACATCTGATTTGTTATTTCATTGTTCAGGATCCATCGGCAGAGACCAGATTCTCCTGGACCCAGCTGTGTGTCCGTGAACAGCGACCGTCATGTCCCTGTTCACTTCAAAGCTGGACATAATCGTGCTGAACAAAAGTAAGAATCTTAAATGTTTGTGTTGTTTTGTTGACTCTCCTAAAAAGAGCTCTCAGGTAGGTCTTGGTTCAGCACTGTTTTTTGTTAATTAAAAATAATAATAGACTCTTTATTTTCCCAGAGGGAAATTCTCATGTCACATCAGCAGCACAGAAATGAACCAGGTTCAAAGAACAGTGCAAAACAAATGGCAAACACATGAGAAAGTAAAATATTAAAAGTATGAGCATGCCCTTTTGTCTGCTGCTTACTGTAACTGTAAGTCCAGTTAGAGTCCAGTAAGACCTCAGCAGCCTCCTCGTCCGCTGATGTCCACTGAGACACAGCTGGATGAGTAAAACAGCAGCATTTTCTCCTGTCCAGTCTACCCTGCACCCAGCGGTGTTTCCATGGAAAGTGACCAGATCATACATTTTATACCAAGATCTGGTATAGGTGTATGAGGATCTGTTTCTACCAGATATAACACAGCACATGTAACCTGTTTGTCATTATATGTTCAAATCATCATATTTCTTCACAGAGTTGATGAGCAGAGCTCAGAGGTTCCCAGTGGTCAGTCTGCCCAGCATCAAACAGACCTGGACTCCATATTTATGGTGTGTAAATGTACAAGCTCAGCTACTACTGCTAATTACAGGAGCCAGCACAAAATGTCATTGAAATTATTTCTATAAATTATTTTATATTTAATTTGGATGATGTTCACAGGCAGCCATAATCCATAAAGCTGCAGTCAGTCCCAGCTGATAACCTATTGTGAGATCAGATATTTTAGAGGAAAACTAGAATATGTTGGAGCTAACAGGAATACGCTCAGTCTGGGTGCTAGTTCTGTTTGTCACAGCAGAACATCACTTAAGACCAAATATGAAATAAAGAGCTGAGAGAGGGTTGATATGCTGTTTATTTCTTCCCTCTGCAGTAACAACATAACAGAATGTATGTTTAGCTGCATCGACACAAAGATACAAAAATCTCTTTTCATTCACGCACTTGTAATGAAAGTTATTGCACTGCACAACTGTAGTCCATCACTCCACCAGCCCCTGATACGCACCAATTTTAACTGTGTGACGTCAGTTGGCTACACTACCACCGCAGGGCTCCCACTATAGAATAACCAGCACCATATGGAAACAGTCCTCAATAACACCAACTTGTTCTACAGAACATCTGACTGATACACTCAGTATCAACATTTCTGTGATTTGCTTAATTTGTTCTTTAACAGCATTTACTCATATGTGGAAATCTCAGCAAGCAATATGTTTCCTTTAAAATATTATAGGAGACAGGGCAGTCCACAAAGTAAATAGTGAAGCAGCATTCTGATCCAGTCTCCATGCTGCACTCTGCAGACCAGCAGGCTTTCTGTCTGTCACAGATGATCTGATGTTGACTTCTACCAGTTCAACTTTACATTTTCTTCTGTTCCAGCTGCTCCAGGAAAACATTGGCAGGTTTGTGAAGAACGAGGTGAAGAAGTTCCAGAGAGTTCTGAGTCCAGATTACCCAGAATGCTTAGAGAGTCAGAGGGAGGATGAGGAGGTGTTGGACGTTGAGGAGGAGGAGCAGAGGAGGCGCAGCAGAGCATTTCTGAAGATCACACTGCACTTCCTGAGGAGAGAAGCAGGAGGAGCTGGCTAGCGTCTGCAGAGCAGTAAGGATTTGAACAGATTTAACATGATGGAAAGAGGAAATGGAGGCAACATGGGAGTTTCCATTTCAAACTCTGCTGTTAATGATGCACACATTTGGATCAGATCTATGAATTCTTCTGGGCTGAAACTCAGAAACTGTTCACAGCTGATGAGCTGAAGATTTCATGGAGGAGGAAAAAAATACCATCTTGATGTCTTAAAGTTTACATTTATCAGATTTACTGCAGCATCCACTTATTAATCACATTTCTTCTTTCTTCATTCAGGAACTGTTGCTGCAGTGTGCCGACGTAAACTCAAGTCTAACCTGAAAAGAAGTTCCATGTGTGTTGAGGGGATTGCTAAAGCAGGAAACCCAACCCTTCTGAACCAGATCTACACAGAGCTCTACATCACAGAGGGAGGGACTGCAGAGGTCAATGATGAACATGAGGTCAGACAGATTGAAACAGCATCCAGGAAACCAGACAGACCAGAAACAACCATCAGACAAGAAGACATCTTTAAAGCCTCACCTGGAAGAGATGAACCAATCAGAACAGTGATGACAAAGGGAGTGGCTGGCATTGGAAAACAGTCTTAACAGAAGTTCACTCTGGACTGGGCTGAAGACAAGCCAACCAGGACATACAGTTCACATTTCCATTCACTTTCAGAGAGCTGAATGTGCTGAAAGAGAAAAGTACAGCTTGGTGGAACTTGTTCATCACTTCTTTGCTGAAACCAAAGAAGCAGGAATCTGCAGCTTTGAAGAGTTCCAGGTTGTGTTCATCTTTGACGGTCTGGATGAGTGTCGACTTCCTCTGGACTTCCACAACAATGAGGTCCTGACTGATGTTACAGAGTCCACCTCAGTGGATGTGCTGCTGACAAACCTCATCAGGGGGAACCTGCTTCCCTCTGCTCGCCTCTGGATAACCACACGACCTGCAGCAGCCAATCAGATCCATCCTGTGGTGTTGACATGGTGACAGAGGTCAGAGGTTCACTGACCCACAGAAGGAGGAGTACTTCAGGAAGAGGTTCAGAGATGAGGAGCAGGCCAGCAGAATCATCTCCCATCAAGACATCACGAAGCCTCCACATCATGTGCCACATCCCAGTCTTCTGCTGGATCACTGCTACAGTTCTGGAGGAGGTGTTGAAGACCAGAGAGGGAGGAGAGCTTCCAAGACCCTGACTGAGATGTACATCCACTTCCTGGTTCAGTCCAAACTGAAGAACACCAAGTATGATGGAGGAGCTGAGACAGATCCACACTGGAGTCCAGAGCAGGAAGATGATGAGCTCTGGGAAAACTGGCTTTTGAGCAGCTGCAGAAAGGCAACCTGATCTTCTATGAATCAGACCTGACAGAGTGTGGCATTGATATCAGAGCAGCCTCAGTGTACTCAGGAGTGTTCACACAGATCTTTAAAGAGGAGAGAGGGCTGTACCAGGACACGGTGTTCTGCTTCGTCCATCTGAGTGTTCAGGAGTTTCTGGCTGCCCTTCATGTCCATCTGACCTTAAACAACTCTGGTGTCAATCTGCTGGCAGGAAAACAATCAACCTCCCGACTGTCTAAAGTCTTCAGAGACAAACTTAAACTAACACATCTCTACCAGAGTGCTGTGGACGAGGCCTTACAGAGTCCAATGG